TGTTTTTTTTTTTTTTTTGTTTTGCTTATACTCCGTGGCAGTCACGTTGAGTTTCCTGCAGTGGGTTATAGTGCAGTGTTAACTGTAGACTTTGAAGCTGCTGAACAGTAATCCGCATATCTTTTTGTTTTTGGTTCTTCCTTAAAGCACCGCACTGCACTTATCTTGAGTGATTGTAACTAATATTGAGCTTCTTTGTGGTCACATGCCTCAGAGTTGTTAACAATTATTGGATTGTGGTTTTTAATATGCTGTGGTAGTTGGTGGTATACGAATGGCAGAGTTTCATTTGTATGGTTTGGGAGTAGCTGCTGTGCTATTCTTCCTTACCTTGTACTGTATGTATGGTTTTATTTCTATTTGTTTTTTTCTCTTTTTAAGTGTAGACCATGTAGGGTAACATGAAAATAATGATCTGACCCTTTGATATTAGCATGTTCACTGTAACTATCAGTGGTAGGACAGTGATTGGACACAAGAAGAGGAAGAAAAAGAAATTTCTGCAGTCCCTCTCTTCATTATCACACATATTGGAAAGATCCTCGTTGAAGTGCAGCAATATAACGAACATTACTGTAATCACAAACTACTCCATTACACTGAACGGTTTATTTATTCTTCGCTAGTCTCACTAATGCTGGCAGAGTTGCAGAAGTCTAACAGAGATTGATTTTAGTCATTGTTCACAGTTAAGTAATATCAACACATTGGCTACCGTCTCCACAGTGCGGATGGTGGATATCTCGTTTACAGGCGTCACAAATGATGGCTGCAGTGCACTGTTAAGGAATTGTACCATTCATGTACGTGGTGTATTGGGATTGAATACTGAAGGAATACCTGCAAACAAAAAAAGTGCAGAATAACATAATTATGTCTACAATTTTTCTTGTTTAATATTATTTACTTGGAATTCAATATCTATACCCAATTGTACCTCCCTTTGATTAGTAATGCTCTACAGCAGTATTAATTATACGTAAATGTAACACTTATTTCAAATGCTATCATCAACAGTATTGTAACCACGTATTGATATAACAGTATTGTGTAAAGGTGTACAGTTACTATGTGTCTTAAATATCTGAATTAATCCCTAATTTCTTATTTTATGCATACCAACAACTAAGAATACTATGTGATCTTATTCCTCTTATTATGCTTTACTTTGATGTTATGCTCTGAAGAAAATGAATCGAAAATATAATCTGACAAGCTTTAAAAGAACCCATGATATTTCTGAGAGTTATGCCATTTTAATGCTTTTATTATTCCCTTTCTTTCTACTATAACAATATTGCTTCAAACAACACAGCTACACAATCACTATGCGAACAACTCTTCTATTGTTAACCTTGCTACTGATACTCTCCTGCATCTGTACATGTGCAGCAGCAGAGAGGATACCACTGCCGGTGCCACGTGTGGGTGGATACGCTACCGAGGCAAAGAGCAAAGGGAGGCCAGACAAAATACCAAATCCAAAAGGCACAGATCAGACTCCGAAAGAAGTAAACGAATCGTGGAATAACGGTGAATTCACTACCACCACACCATCTCTCAGTATGAGTGAGTCCATGAGTGCCTCTGCCACTCTTCCTCTCACTGACACCACTACTGTTGCCCCAACACCAGATGAACAACAACAAGAAGGATCATCAGAGGGACAGGCCGCCCCTGCTGAGGAGTCAACTACGACGAGCACCGCAGCACCGAAGAAGAAGAAGAAGGACGGCGGCCGCGGCCCTGAGTGGCTGCACGGCCCGCTGGTGCTGCTCGCCGCCCTCACCGCCGCAGCGCTGTGCTGAGTCCCGCCCCCTCTGCCAGTGCGGCACTGTAATGATATTCCCCTCTTTTTGCTGGCGACGGCACCCACCACATCACATCCCTCTACTTTGCTACTCTGTGTGTGTTTATCTGATTGTGTGGTTGTGGTTGTGTGTGCACGTCCTGCCCTCCATGGACCTGGTGCCACTGCTGTGTATTGCAATCACCTCGTCAAGGTGGATGGGTTCTTGATATTAACACTCATTGTGTGAAACTGGGCTAATAACATCTTTTTTTCTTTCTTTGCTTTATGGTGGTGCCCCCATACACTGCTGCTGGGAGGGAATGGACAGACATATTGTAGTAGTGGTGGTGGTGGTGGTGATGGGTGGCACCTCTGTGTGATTTGGCCTCATATTGGGGTAGTTTCTTTTTTTAGCTCGAGACTCAAATCTCGGGTGTAATCTCTTCTTAACATCAGCTTTTGCTTTGCTTAATAATAGTTTAGGAATAATGACAGCAGTATTCATTGTTTTTTTTTTTTTCTTTCTCAGCTCTGTTATTGTGGAATGTGTGTGCTGAATGTTAATACCGTCTTTCCTCTTAAGGATGGGAGTGCTGTGAGGTAAGCTGAGTGGGTTTATTCTTTTTTGGTGCCTTATTATACTGCACTTCTCTCTGTTATTAAGCATCGGTGCCTATGGGGTACTGTTGTGTGTGGATTCACTAATTGGGGTTAGTTAATAATGTTCTTTTTTTAAACATGAATGGTGTATTTGGCAGTTTAAAGAGATATTTTCCTATGAGGTACAATGGGTGTGATAAGGCGTTGTGTGGTGATATATCTGTGTGTTTACCTTTTTACTCTTTGTGTTTCCTATTCCTTAGTTTATGATGCACTAGTGTATTATAATAATGATAACAGTGATGCCCTGTATGCTATGTGTGTGTGTCTGCGTTATTGGCTCTAATAAAGCCACACTTGTGCAGCAGACATGGCAGGGATAAGGGGTTGTTCTGGTCCCATGTGTGTGTACGCACATACTCGATGTGGGTAAGGAAGGGAAGAGGGACAGCTGCCAGTTTACAGTGTAAGGTGTACTGTACATGATGTGTTTACGCCTTCACTGTAATGAAGTGAATGCTTGCCATTACTTGTGAAATGGAATGGGAATTAGTTATGAGTGAATATATATACAGAATCCTAATTGGTGGTGGTTGATGTATGGCCCTAGTCGTAGAGCACTCATCAATAGCCCAACCAGCCACAGTACTCTGGATAGTAACAGTAATGGTAACATAGTATCTCTCTCAGTGGGTAGTTAATGGTTTCTATTATAAATTCTTATTTTGTTACTGTTAGTTATTTCTTTAATGTTTGACAATGGTAACTGTGCTATATTGTGTGGCTGATGATGATGATGAGGATGATGTAGTTTGTTGTGGTTTTCTTTTTTGTGGTTTTCTGTGTTTTGGGAGTATATATTCATCCTCTGTGATGATGAGAGTGTATTATTATTATTATTATTATTATTATTATTATTATTATTATTATTATTATTATTATTATTATTATTATTATTATTATTGTTCTTTGCAAATACACACCTCATAGTGTTGTATGCTGCCATCAGAGATTATTGTAATTGTTCTCCATGGATAATCCTATACTTTGTTTCTTAGTGGTTGTAAAGATTTCTTATTTCTTATTGTTTTTATAGAGGTCTTTTAACTATATCCTGCACAGAAGATCATGAGTTGATGATAGTTGACTGAACTGTGGATATTGTTGAGTTCTTAATAATTTATTTTTTATTAATTTCATTTACTCCTTTTTTTTCTCTATAACCAGTGTTAATGTAACTGATGGGTTTTTTATTGCTGTTTATCTCATTGTATTAGACATACAGCTTACCTGTACATTTTCCATAATTGTCTCTATTATATTTTTGTATTCTCCTCTTTATTCTCTTCTATTCTATTCTTTGGTGATATTGTTAGATTGTAAGTTTAGCTGGATGAGCAGCAAGACGAAGAGTAAGAGTAATATTCCCGCCAAGCAGCGGGTGCAGGACCACACAGATGCGAAACCCCCACAACCCACAAAAGAAATAACTACTACTAATACTAATACTACTAATAATATGAACAGTAGTTTGACTGTGAAGAGTATATCCACAGCAGCAGCAGCAGGGACGACGTTGGGTTGTTGTGGGGCTCTTCTTGTGATTGGCACTTATCACTCCGTAATGGCGGGTCTTGTCTTTCGCCGTGATCGCCTCGCGCTGCTCTTTTCCATCAAACACCACGATGGCTGTATTAACACAATTGCGGTTGTGGATCTCGCGCGTGGGCGGCTGCTCAGTAAATGGCGGTACAACACCCACACAAATAATACAGTTAATAATAATAATAATAATAATAA